CTTCCCTATTTAAAAGAAAAGGTTTCCTGGCAGGTCCTCGCTCTTCCATCTCAGGGGCAGGTTTTAAAGGGAGAACTGGAAGGGCTTTCAGGTGCTGAGAAGGCAGCCCCCAGCCTGTGGGCCAATTTTGGATGAAGATGAGCCCTGAGATATGCAATCAGGACTCCTGGGAGGTGGGCACAGGGCTGAGCAGGGCCAGGCAGGAGCATGGACAGCCGTGGCCTGGCTTAGGGGTTCTTTTGGGGTAATACTGGCTCTGCAAGAGCCGCTGGCCCTATTTACACAACTTGTGCCTGATCCCTTAAGCCAGATAAGTGTCACAGCTGCAGAGCGGTGCTAAGGTTCAAGCTCAAACACAGAAGGTCTCGTGTCGCTGCCCCTTCAAACTGCTCTCTGCCAAGGGCTGCCCCGGGGAGCCTGGCTGGGCCCAGGAGGGCCGGGCACTTCGCTGCCACAGGTGGAGGGGTTACTGCTGCTCCGCTCACTGCTGCTTGCCGTAGCAATAAGAAAGCAGAGGCCTTGAGGCCCCAGAGCGTGGAGGGCCAAGGAAAAAGATGAGGGCTGGAGGCAGGAGCTGCCTGTGCCTCACAAGGTCTGGGCAGGGTAGGGACAGGGCTGGGAGGGGAGAGGGACGTGGCAGCCACCAGCTGGTCCTTCCACTTTGCATTGGCACCAGCTGCTCAGCCTGGCACAGGTCAGAGGCCGGTCAGGAAAGCGAGGATCGGGGTTTTGTCCCCATCCTGATGTTGGCAGAGACTGTGCACAGTAAAGGAGCAGAGTGAGAAAGGAGGCAGCACGTTATTGCTCCAAACACATGCGGCTGCTGTAATCCCTGCACCAAACATCCTGCAGTGAGAGAGCGGCGCTGCGCTGCATTGCAGGCTGAAAGACCTGCTCGTGCAGAAAGCCATGTGTTGAGAGCCAGCACTGGGGGCTCAGATGTGCTGGGTCAGGCCACAGAAACAAGGGGAGGGAGATAGAGTGAATTTGAAGAATGATGAAGGCTGGATGTCCAAGCAGGCTGTATTTTCAAGCTTTCAGAACAACTGCAGGGCCACAGACATCAGGTTTTCACTGAGTAAGGATGGTGAGGGAAAAACATCGGGACCTGTGAGAACTGCTGTCTGGCACAAGAAAGGCAGGCACCCTGCCCGTGTCCAGCTCCTGTGAGCAAGGGCACCAGGGTCTGAGGAGAGCTGGCCTGTCTCTGCTAAGCCTGGACACACAAGTGTCCCCTTGTGCACACAAAACACTGGCTGTGTCCTTGTTGTGGCTAGGGACAGAGGCCAGGCGGCCCATGCTGCAAAGGCATTGCTGTGGCAGGGTTGGTGGCTGAGGAAAAACAGCAGGTCAGAACACTGATGCTGAAAACAAGGATGGGGAGGGAGGAACTACCAGGCACCATCTGTGGGAAGGAGGGGGCTGGTGTGAGTCTGGAGGAGGGGATGAAATCAAGGTAGGGGATGTGGCTGAGAAGCTCTAAAATGAGCTTCCTGGGAGGGTCTGTTCAGCTGGGAATGGTTTTGTGATGGTGCTGACACTTGAAAAGAGCCTGGACAGAGCCCCATGGGTGAGCTGCAGCATCCCACTGTGTGGGGTCGAGTCAACCCACCCAGGGATTTTGCTCCTCTAGTCTTTAAGTTAAATAACGAGAGACATTCTCAACAGCCTTGAGGAATCTGAGTGGCACTCCACAGCCGCTCGTCAGAGGCATCGCAGTGCAAATGCCCACACACGGGCACCTCCCCCCCAGAGGAGACGTGGGCACAGATGTACCCGCTGCCAGGCAGGGTCCCACACAAGGCACAGCACCACGTTTGGACGGTCACGCTGCGGCTCCCCGCCAAAGTGTCTCCACACAAAGCCCGAGCCCCTCCTCCCTGCATAAACAAGCTGCATGCTCCACTGCCCGCAGCAGCCTGCCAGCACCCGGCTCCTCCTGCCCGCCGCCACTGCGCAAGGGTCCACGCTGCTTGCCCCACATGGCCCCACGCCTCCCCAGAGGCTGCCATCAGTGTGGGCACCTGCAGAGCCAGTGACACCAGGAAGGGCACTGGATGAGCAGTGAAGAGCCATGGGGAGATGGCAGGGAGCTGCTTCTCCCGGAGAGGCTGCCCAGTCAGTAGACAGACTAGTAATACCTGCTGAGCACTTAGCAGGTCTCCTCCTGGGTGAAGCACCACCTTGCACAAGGGCAGAGAGGGCAGTTGCTGCAGGCAGCTGCACCCTGAGGTCACAGGCAGGACGGCAGCGCTGCACTGCCTCGCGGGACAGCACGGGTGGTAGCAAAGCACCCGCGCCTGTGCTCCTAGCAGACATCCACCTTCCGCTGAAAACGCTTCCAGCCTCTGCGGCTGGGGAGCCGGGGACAGGGGGAGCTGGAGCAGGGAGCCCACCCTATCACTCAGCCACGTGGCACCAGAAACAAAAGATGGTGCTGAAAGGGTCATAATTTAAAAATGAGCTTTGGGGGCCAAGGCAGCCCCAGTAAGGCCAAGTGCAGTGTCACCTTCATGTTTGTGGCAGAGGACACCTGGACACACAGGAGATCACAGTGGGAGCCCGGGATGCAGCCTGAGCTGCAGGAATGGGCAGTCTCGTGAGCACAGCACTGGGTATTCAGCACCTTCACCCTGCGTTGCCCCGCTGATCCTAGCACCTTCTAGCTTAGTTTGGGTGCTCCAGCAAGGCTGACAAGAGATGCCCCAGATTTACTGGCTGTGATGCAGGGCTGTTCTGGGGAGCGCGTGTTGGGGCCAGGAGCCAAATCAGCACTGCAGCAGGCACAGACTCTGCAGGCAGGGGCCAGAGTCTCAGAGGTTTGGACTCTCTGAACACTTCACTGAAGGTACAGGCTGCCCATAGCAGACAGCATGCTTAAACCTACAGCAGTCTTCTGCTTGCTGGAAGTAAGCTTGCTTCCCTTAGCAGCCTTTGCTGGCTCTCTGGATGTAGTCGGCTGACACCAGGGTGGAAAGCACAGCAGGCAGGCTGTGGCCCTGGCATGCCAGGAGGCACTAGCAGTGCTGGGGGCAGGGAAGAGTCCAAGTGTCCCATTCTGATCAGCAAATGCTTCTTACCAGAGTGTCTCACCCTGGGGAGCCATAGGTCAGTAGCCAGCTGACAGCAGGTGCAGGAGCAGTGGGGGAGGCTGGGGCAGGCTGCATCCCACATATGATGATTCAGCCTCTGAACTGGAGCATCTCCCACAGCACAGATATGTGTGTGGGCTAGGGGAGCAGCCCTCAGCCTGCACAGCCTGGGGCGAGCTCCTGCCTGGAGCAAATGCCTCCTTGCACTGGTCCAGGCTGGAGCAGTGTGCTTCCCTACGCAGAGCAGACAATGTAAGCCCTACCTCCCTTTCTTTCTGGGAAGCTCAGGAAGCCACAAGCAGTAGCCAAGCTGTAGGCGAAGGGCCAACGCACATTCCTTGGCCTGCAGACACAGGGGAGGAGGCGGCAGCAGCAATGGCACTCTGCATTGCAGCACAGGGGCCAGGTGCTGGCAGCCAGACCCAGTGCCCTGTGCGGATTCTCAGCCCAGGAGCAGGACCTGAGCACCAGGAGGATGCCAGGGCTCACTGCTGGTAATGGTGGCTGGCTGTTGCTCCCACTGACCTGGACCTGTACTAGCCCCAGCTCCTCTTCTCCCACATGGATCCCCCCACACAAGGCAGTGTCCCTCCTGGAAGAGAAGACAGGCATCCCCAGGGCTGCAAGACCCTGTCCAGCCACCAGCTAAGTCACCTGGGCTGTCAAGGGCCAGTCCCATCCCACTCACTGAGGCAAGCAGAGGCACCACCTCCCAGCAGGAGGGATTTGGCCAAGGAGAGCGCTGTTGGGGTCCTGCCCTGCCAATCCCCCCGTGAGAGCAGAACAAGCACAAAGCCCATCTAAAGTGGGAATGAGGTCAGGGGACGGCCTCCCGCTAAGCTGATTAGAGGAAAGCATCCCCCTAATACAATAAACTGTGCCAGAGAAATGCGGTTCCCACCGGCTACAGATCAGGGTCAACCAATCTCCCACCCTGCGACATCTGGGGGGCGAAGGGATGGGAGGTCGTGGCACCCAGCTGGGGCCCAGGGGCCAGGCACGCCAGGGCCCCTGCAGGCTGCATGCCCTGCCTCCCCTGCTCACTGCATGGGCAGACCCTGGTGCTGGGCAGAAGGGGCAGCGGGAGCAGCCACCCTCTTTTGAGCTGGCATCGGGGCAGCCCCAGGGAGGAGAGGGGGAGCAAGACCTCCCCTCCACAGCCTGGCTGCCCTGGCAGCTCAGCGCACAGGCTCCTGCCAGCTGCCCGTGCACAAGTGTGGGGCTGCGGCTGACGTGGCCACCGCCGCTTGCCCGGCAAGCTCTCCCAACCCCAGGGCCCTGGTACGCAGCTGATAAGGAGTCACACCCTAACAACTGCTCCAGATTTGCTTGTGGACTCTTGTCCTTGTGGCAATGTCAGCCCTCAGCTCAGGTTGCTCTCTGCCCTTGCTGTGTGATGCCAGAGACTGCCTTCCTGCTCCCAGCTGGTTTTTGCTGGTGTGGACAAGCAGAGCAGCTTGACCTTCCTCCCAGAGCTCCCCTGCCTACACCTGCCCTGAGGGTCTCTGTGGGGCAGAGGTACGAGCTCTGGGGTCCCCTGGCCCCAAAGGGCTCATTGGTCTCTCCTCCCACAGCGCCGAGTACCCAGACCTGCGGAAGCACAACAACTGCATGGCCAGCAGCCTGACACCAGCCATCTATGCCAGGCTCTGTGACAAGGCAACCCCAAATGGCTGGACCTTGGACCAGTGCATCCAGACAGGTGTCGACAATCCCGGTCACCCCTTCATCAAGACTGTGGGCATGGTAGCTGGCGATGAAGAAACCTATGAGGTGAGTGGCAGCCAGAGTCCTGCCATGCTCCAGGCTCTCCAGGGTGCCTGCAGTAGCCAAGGGAGTCCCAGTACCTGCAGTACATCCAGCAGCCTGGGATGTTACTGCCCACCTCCTCCTGCAGCATCAGCCCTGTGGATAGCCATTGCATTGCAGGATGCGCCACAGCCCCCAGCCACTCTCTGCAGCCTCCCTGCCACCTCCCACACTGGCAGCGGGACTGCGCCAAGCCTGTGGCAGGGGCTTTGTGTGGTGCTGGGTCTGCAGTGCTGCTCATCATCCCACTTGCTTCCAGGTGTTTTCTGACCTGTTTGACCCCGTGATTCAGGACCGGCACAATGGGTACAACCCCCGCACCATGAAACACACCACAGACCTGGATGCGACCAAGGTGCGCGAGCCGCGCAGCGGTGCTGCACATGGGGGCCCTTCCCCAGGCCTTAGGGGACTTGGCCCCTGCCAGCACCAGTGCTGCCCTGTAAGCACCCCACGGCTCATGTCTGTTCCAGATAAAGTTTGGGCACTTTGATGAGCGCTACGTGCTCTCGTCCCGGGTCCGGACTGGGCGCAGCATCCGCGGGCTGAGCCTGCCACCAGCCTGCACCCGCGCTGAGCGGCGAGAGGTGGAGAAGGTGGCCGTGGAGGCGCTGAACGGCCTCACTGGAGACCTGGCAGGCCGGTACTACCGCCTCAGCGAGATGACGGAGAAGGAGCAACAGCAGCTCATTGATGTGAGTTGGTGCAGCTCCTGGTCAGCCACTCCAGGTGCCCACAGAGAAGGACCCTGTCCCCTGCATTGCCTGCCTGGGAGGCCGTATTCTCCTTTACCAGCCCCGCAGTCCCTGCCCAGGACCCCCTTCCCCAGCAAGGCCAACCCCATGATGCAGACAGTGCTCACGGAGCTTCTCAGCCCTCCCGAGCCAGGGGAGGATGGAGCTTGCTGAACACAGCTCCAGCAGCTCATGGCCCCCTCGGGCTCTCACCATGTACCTGCCCATGCCTGGGGAAGGCAGGCTCATGGCACATGGCCGGTGCCCCACCGGCCCCTGGTATGGGGTGGGCTGTGTACCAGCAGCCTTCTGCCTCCCTGGCCAGGAAGGCAGGGACAGCAAGTGAACTTGCCCTGCCTGGGACAGCCACAGTGCATCACCTGCATGGCAGGCTGGGACCAGTGAAACAGGGTGCCCTGGCACCGGCCATGCAGCCTTGGCGAGCCCTTGCACTCTCCCTCCCTCCAGGACCACTTCCTCTTCGACAAGCCGGTGTCCCGCCCGGGACTGGCCCGACGCCCGAGGGATCTGGTGAGGATCTGCCCCGGCATCAAGCAGTCAGCAGGGCAGAAAGGCGAGAGACACTGCTGCTCTGTCTACCTGCCCCCACCCCCCCACGCTCACCGAACCACAGACCCCAGCACATGCGGCACCGGCATCTCTGGGCTGCGCTCAGTCCAGGTTCTGTGGCCACACAGACCTGGGCTCTCTGCTCACGCCTGACCTGGGAGCCACTTGTGCACTGCAGTCAGCAGCCAGCCACTCCATACACAAGCATCCTCCTAAGAAGCAGGACTTTCAGAGCCAGCCCCTGCTGTCAGTCCTGCTTGCCCTCACCCCTCTGCAGCACCTTGCACTCTAGGCTGCCAAAAACCTGTAACTGCCTTCTGCTCCCCAGGCAATCCCCAGCGCTCCTCCTGGCTCTCTGCACACTCTGTGTGCCCCCAAACTTATCCTGCCACAATTGCATCTTACTGCTACCTTACAGCATCTCTGCACAGCCATGCACATCCCACACAGCATCCCACGCACCCGCAGAGTGACAGCTGGCACACGCACTTGCCCACACCGCCCTTGCTGGCACAGCACCTTTATAGCAGCCTCATGGAAAACACCTCCACAGCACACATGGTCCCCAGCTCCACCCACCCCCTAACACAGCATCCCAACGTGTACCCCGTGTGTCACAGTCCCCTCCTGCTGCCTGCGCAGTGCAGGAGATGTGGTCCTGTCCCCAGTCCAGGCAGGGTTGCCACCACACTGGTACCACACTGCTCCTCCCCAGCAGCGCTTGCCTGCACCCATGGCACTGGGGCCAGGACCCGTCGCCTGCAGCAGTGTGTGTGGATGCACGCTGGCCCATCTCCAGGAACATCTCCTGACTGTCTGCCTTGCTGCTGGGCTGTGCTCTGGCAAGGCGCTCCCAGCCATGGGTGCAGGCACTGGCACGATAGTCACAGGGGCAGAAGGGGCACAGCTGGGGCTGGCGTGGGTGGCTAGACGGGCACAGGGGCTCTGCCTGGCCACCAGTGCAGCCGAATACTGCCCTGTCCCTAGGCACAACAATGAGAAGACCTTCCTGATCTGGATCAATGAGGAGGACCACACACGCATCATCTCCATGGAGAAGGGTGGCAACATGAAGCGTGTCTTTGAGCGGTTCTGTCGGGGCCTGAAGGAGGTGAGCACCTGCCAGCCCCTGCTGTGCCAGACCTGTGGACAGGCAGATAGGCGGACAGGGACATGCAGGGCCGCTGCGGGGCTGGGACCCTGCACTCGGCCAGGGCTGAACCACTGCTTGTGCCCCTAACCCAGGTGGAGCGGCTAATCCAGGAGCGAGGCTGGGAGTTCATGTGGAACGAGCGGCTGGGTTACATCCTGACCTGCCCCTCCAACCTGGGCACTGGGCTGCGAGCAGGTGTCCACATCAAGCTGCCGCTGCTCAGCAAGGTATTACCATGGCCAGTTTTGTGGGGAGCCAGGCCAGGGCTGTGGGGAACCCCAGCTGCCGGGACACAGGGAGCCCAGCCATGTGGGAGGTGCAGGACTGCATGGGACCTGGCCCTTGACCTCGCTCAGGTTCCCCCAGGAAGCAGAGCATATGGTCCAGCCCCCACCTGCATCTGCAGCTGGAGGGGCCAGGAACCCAGGTGTCTACCTGAGTCTGCTCAGGGCAGGGCTCCCTGCAGGGATTACAAGCCCACTGAATGGGTCCTGTGAGTGGTGGGAGGGCTGCCCCAGGGACCAGTCGGCTGCAGAGCCCTGACTCCCTTGTTGATGGTCCTGCTGAGTACTGACACTTTCTCTGGGCACCAGGATAGCCGCTTCCCTAAAATCTTGGAGAACCTGCGGCTACAGAAGCGTGGGACAGGCGGTGTGGACACTGCAGCTACTGGCAGCGTCTTTGACATCTCCAACCTGGACCGACTGGGGAAGTCAGAGGTGGGTGCCGAGCAGAGCTGCTTTTGGGGAGGGAGGTTCTGGAGCATGTGTGCATGACAGGCCCACAGCACCCAAACAGCTCCAGGGCCATATGCTGGGGCCAGCATGTGGGGACTGGGAGTGGCAGCGCCTGCCCTTCACACAGTAGGGCCGGCTGGGTGCCTTGCTGGCATGGCTCCCAGGACAGCCCCTGAGTCAGGGTGTGTGTGCTCCTTGTGCAGGTGGAGCTGGTGCAGCTGGTGATAGATGGTGTGAACTACCTGATTGACTGTGAGCGGCGGCTGGAGAAGGGTCAGGACATCCGCATCCCCTCCCCGGTGCCACAGTTCCGGCACTGAGTTGGTCCAAGGCAGCACCATCCCCGTGGGACCCAGCTCCTCCCTCAATAGCTTACATGATATCTGTGCCCAGCATGTCGCTGAGTCCTGTTACCCGCAACACGCCAGGCCAGACCCCATAAACGTGCGCTGCTGTAGCCGTGGCTCAGTCTCCTCCTCACCCCAGCACCCACCACCCAGCCGATCTCCCCAGCGCCCTGTGCCTGTGCAGAGAGGCACCCACCCAGGTCTGGGCTCCCTGCACCTGCCTTGAGCAGCCCTACCAGGGATTTCCCTGAGCCACTGCTGCCCTGGGGAATGGGCCTGAGGGGGCCACTGGGGCTGCCCTGGTCTGTGGGGCCAGAAGGACTGCATGTGGGTAGGGAGCTGGGGTTGGGGGGCAGCTTGCTGCAGGGTGCCAGGAGCCGCAGGGGAAGTTGCTCTGGGGCCACGTGTCACTGCAGGCAGGCAGGGAGCAGAGCTCATTGCTTGTGCCCACCACACATTTATTACTGGGATGGTCACAGAAAGCAGTGGGGCAGGCAGAGGAGTAGAGCCAAGGTGAAGCCAGACTGGGGCCTGGCTCCGCTCCCTCCTGCAGGAGAGAAAGCACCGTCAGACCTGAGCGTGCCAGCTCCAGCGCTCTGTGGAGGGACTCACGTTCCTGACGCTGCACAGTGCTTTACATGCATGCAGATGTGCATGCATGCACACACACACGCACGCACATGCACACACAGCTTTGGGCATGGACAGCACAGTCTGCTGCTGCACCCAGAGCAGCTGTTCAGGGCCTGGGTTTAGGGTAGGGGCAGCAGCAGGGAGGTCTCATCTGGGCAGAGGTGGGATGGGACACAGCCTAAGCAGGAGCACGAGCTGGGCAGGCAGTGGGGCCAGCCTCCCCATGGGGCAGTGCTGCAGGCGCCAGGGGCTGAACCCACACAACCTGAGCCCTCCTGGCATCTCGGGGTGCCCATGTTCAGCCCAGAGGTGCAGAGCAGGGACGAGGGGCAAGCAGGCAGGGGACCCGCCCACAGCAGGTAGGCTGGGGGCTGCATGGGGACAGAAGCCACCCTTGCTGCTCTCACCTTAGACGTCCTGGGCAGCCTCTTCCTCGTACTGGGCACTGGCCAGGGCTTGGTGCTGGGCGCTGCTGAGCTACTGGCGCTGCCCCAGGGTGACGGCCACAGCCTGGGTGCTGGAGAGGGGGCGAAGCC